GTCTCTGTCAATGGGACCAAACCTCCGCGTTCACAAGAATATTCCGCCACGTACTTTTGATAATTTTCACTTTTCAATTAGTATTCGAGCTTGCCGTAATTCTCCGAGGAGCTAAGCTAGCACGCTGCACGCTTTCAAGAGACTTGTTCATTTTGGACATTGAAAGCTGTTACTGATTGAATGGTATTATTCTTCGAACACAAACCTTCCCAAAAATCCTTTCGCTTACTACGTAGTAGTCGAGTCGCCATCCTATATTTCGAGAACGAGCATTTCCCATGTAAGACCAGAAAGTGTATTCTTGCTTGTCTCCATGCAGCTCACGGTAGGTATCCTGGAAGAGAATAAAATCAGTCGAATACTACACAGCAGTTGACGTACAACATACCTTGAAGCCTGCATCCAGCAACCTCGTGAACCATCCACGTTCTTGATCAGTGAAACCAGCGGTCTTATTCCTGTTTGAGTCGGGATTCGCCAAATCTAAAAACACTCCTTTTTCGTGATGACCATTAGAGCTGAACAATGAGGCAGAGCGCACCAATTTCATTATGGGCTACGTTCAGATCGCCGGCATATATTACAGGCTTTTTCGAATCGAGGTCTTTGATCTTCTCCAGAAACACTTCCTCCCACTTCTCGCGATTTCCCAGATTGACCAGACCACGTCCACTATTCGGAACATAAGCACCGATGAAGAAGAACCGCGTGAATTCTGCGATGATCAGACGACCCTCATCAGCGAACAGGTCACTGTCAAGACCCTCAAGACCCTTCCATATCTAAACAAAATCAAAGAGTTTGTTCCTTCTCGGTACTCCAAAGAGCATCTCAATACAAGGAATTGATGAAGCCCTGTAGAAGAATCTATAGTGTACCAAAGAGTGAAGTCGAAACTGCGAGTCAGCAGGTGTGAGACTCGCGGAATCTCACTGAGCAGAAACTCACGACAAGTGCATAAATTGTTGCTGAGGCGTGAGAAGAGAAAGAAATTCTTACGCCTTCCATGGAAAACCGTATTAGAAAGCAGCCCTTAATCCAGCTTCAGTTTCCAAGAAACTCGTAGTTTTGTTCTGATAAAGCTGCGTTCACACTTTACGTCAGTGTTTTGAGCGATTAGGAAAATATAGGTATCGATCTGGCGTAGGCATTCTGGCTGCGTTGAAGGCAGTTGGCACGATAAATCCCCAAGGCGCGGTGAGCGACGGGTGGAGCCATTCTGGTAAAGGGCGCTGGGAAGTGTGGGTCATTTACCACACGTGAAAAGCTTGAATGTGTGAGGTCACAGTATTCATAGGGCCTTCGGAAGGAGACCCTATGAATACTGTGACCTCACACAGGATTCATATTCGACTAGGATGAATACGCTTGGCAAGGACGGAATTCCACGACCCTGAGCAGATGCTGCATAGCGGTTCCTCCAAGGAAGGTGCCCTTATAAGGGCCCTATCAAGCCACAACATTCCGACCAAACGCCCGCCCGCCCACAAATGGACGACCGTTCCTGACGCTCGTATTCATTCATTTGCTAAGCAAATTATGAAGCGAAGGGATTGGTATGAAGCGGCCGTGATGCCAATCCCTTCGCGCAAGATGCCTACGGGAATGCCATAATTAGAAATCGTCGCAAGAACGGGAAACTCGTCCGAAATCGATTTTCAAGTCACTGAGACTGAGGCTTTTTCTTCGCAGGATTTTAAACCGTTTCACGTTTCCTTCTTTCGCCATTTCCCCACTATATAGGCGCCTACGAGCATTTTTAGGCACGAGCAGAAACCGTCGTCGCAATGCCATATATACCTGAGCATAGCGTTTTGGCGAACGTCAACGTTCTTGAGCGTTTCGCAGGCAGATTTTGAGCATTGTTGCTGCAGTCGCTGAAAACTTGGCATGAATTGCAAATTTAGAATCGACACGTAACTTTCCATAGTCGCGCAAATCGCGCTGCTGTACACTGGTAGTCAAACCGATACATGATACGTATTTCAGTGCTGAAACGCAAAAAGCTGGCGTGCGCTCGAAGCGCTCAAAACGTTTCCGTACGCTCAAAACGCTGACGAAAAATGTGAATGTATGCCTAACACTCGTTATAAATTACTTCTGTGTCTGGTAGCCCAGTTTATGCCGCGGGTGCATTTCGAGTGTTTTTGTCTTCTCCCGAGTGTATCTGCTCACGCTAAAAGTTTCTTTTTGAAATTACAGCCAAATCTGCTTCAAAGCCGCGTTACAGTGTAGCATGGGGGGGGGAGGGTCGCGACCAGGCTTAGACAGGAATGGAATCCGCCCACGCAGCGCTTTCGAAGAAACAAGAGTGCGGAGTAGAGGAGGCATCCACGGATAAGGGAAAGGGGCGCTTTCTCGGAAAACCTCAGAGGGTTAAGTCAATCGGAATCCGTTCAGTCTTCTGCAGCGTCTTCTCTAGACTCGTGGATTTTCGTGTTCTCACTCCACCTTTGCAAAGGTCTACGGAAATTAGCCCCGCTTAGTCAAGCAAGGGTAAAGGACAGTTGTAGTCTTGTTTGCTAGGAATGATGAAGCGTGCCAGTGAGACTGGGTTCGGCGCGGCTAGCCTGTTCTCCTTCGGAGAGGATTAGCGACAACAGCTGGTGAAAAACGACTGATACGAACGACATTATACAGTCTTGTCGCTTGTCGAAAGCAAAAAGAAAGGATGGGCTGGAGAACGCTAGAAAAATCCCCTTTCGACATGTCCATTATCCACAGCTAACAAGACTGTAACTCCTTTAATCAGATGATCCTCGGGAAGATGGAGAAATTGAAGACCTCTTTCGAGCTGGAAATCTATAGGATAATGATTGAGGATGGAAGTTGAGCCCTCCGAACTGGTTCCCATGGAACTCCTTCCGAAGGCCCTATGAATACTGTGACCTCACACATTCAAGCTTTTCACGTGTGGTAAATGACCCACACTTCCCAGCGCCCTTTACCAGAATGGCTCCACCCGTCGCTCACCGCGCCTTCCGAAGGAAATAGCAGATTACCCTTTCAAACCATTGTGCTCAGCAAGGATTCACTCAAACACTGGTGTTATTTCAACAAACATGCCGACAAGAAATCAAAGCCCCAGCATTTCCTTATGAGGCCATTCAAACAACCAAGTCAGCAGCACCTTACCTTCAACGGTTTTACTTTGCTAAGAAATGCAACACCAGCATATCCACCCTTGTTCTTTTGTGAGACCAAAAGCGTCCTGTGATAGCCCTTAACACCATATAAACTCGAACAGAATGTTTCACAAACAAAAGAAACAAGCGCACCTTCGCTCTGAAAGCACTTTCCAGATCGACGGGCCATTCGCTGCACTTTGTCTCGCCTAAAAACATCACGTCGGGATCCTCGGCCAAAACTGATTTGTGACCACCCTTCTGAAATGGGCACAACTGTCGGCTTTTCCTGTGAGAATCTCTGGATTGTATCAAATGTTACTTAACACATGTCTAAGCTTAAACGATATTCAAAAGATAAATTGTGGACAACCTTAGCACAAGCTCGTAGACCTGCAACGTTCCAGCATAGAAATTTCCAATGACGTTCTTCCTCATCACCTCGAATTTCATTTCCAGTCGATGGCTGTGGTTCATCTACATCCACCGAAATCTTCGTCTTTTTAGATTCGAAATAAGTCGTCTGGGAATTGTCACCAATTGGTAGCTATACAACGGAAACCGGTTCATATTGAACTGCTTGAGAAATACGTATGTCTACATAATGAGTGAGAGGAGTGAAGAGCAAAAAGAACTTACCAGAACTTTCGCTTTCCTTTTCGGCATCGTGAAACTCCGAACAGAACCGCTATAGAGGCAAAGGCAGCGCCGTAGCATTCAAATTTCGTGCCCGCCACCCCTCGTTAAAGGTCCGGAACCGATCATTTGAAGTGCTAAATGGAATCGAATTCTAATAGAAAGAGGAATGGAATGAAAGAGACGCATCTATGTATACTCTTGTTGTCCCGCTGGTCCTTGTGGTAATACTCAAGCACTCTTACACGGTAATTCACGAGTTTCAATAGTAAGGTAGAAGTAAATAGTGGACACGATCAATAAACCAGAAACAATAGAAACAGAACATCCGCAACGGAACTTCCACAGTTATTGAAAAACACGATCGCGTTCGCAGGATATGACGTTCGAGCACACATTTTAGAGCACAAAAACTCAGGAACCGCCGCGCCCTAGCTAGCTGGTTATGATCCCGACCTCTTCCTCTTTATGATGCGTTCATACTTCGCGATTTACTTCGCGATTGGGGACAGAGTAAGTGGCGGGCGGGTCGACGATTTGGAGTGCGCGCCAACGGACTGGACGGGCATTGATCGGCGCCGGTCCCTAGCATTTTGAGAGAATGGCAGAATCGGCGGATCGACGTTCTAGAAGAGCTCATTTTTTTTCTCAAAACATCAAATCGCTAACGATCGGCGCCGATTACGCATTCTCCCCAAACGTGGATTCATCAGTTGACTTTCAACAAACAGTCGCAAAGTATCTGGTGCGTTACATTGCGGAGGCCTCCACCAGCGTCCACTAGCGTTCCGAGGATCCGGAAGCGTCAGCGATTACCAAAGTATAGATATCGGTTTAGCGTCCCAGCGTATGTCAGCGTCTCGAGGGCCAGGGAAGCATAGGTATCGATCTAGCGTCTGCCAGCGTCTACCAGCGTTCACCAGCGACCGGGAGTAGAGAGTATGGGGAAATAGAGGGTAGCAGACAGCTGGATTAGGCGTCGTGAAGTTGCGGCGTGCCAGCGGCTAATGCCGTTTGGACGCACGCAATTTTGGCACCGAGCTCATTTATAATGTGCCAAGATCACCAAATCCGCTGAAAACTTGTATAATTTAACATCCTGATTGCGAATATGACATTCATTCTTGGCGCTGGCGCTAATGGATGACACTACGATTATCTGCGCTCTGCTAAGGCTGAGCCCAGGAGGTAATCGTAGTGTCCTCTCTTGGCGCCAGCGCCAAGAATGAGTGTCATATTCGTAATCAGGATGTTGAATTACCCATGTATACAAGTTTTCAGCGGATTTGATGATCTTGACACTTTATAAATGAGCTCGTTGCCAAAATTGCGTGCATCCAAACGGCATTAGCCCGTGCCAGCCATCGTGCATACGGCCTTTGTCCCCTCAAAGTATGAATTCACCTCAATCAACAGTCGCACATTATCAACATAGTCTTACCCTGACGAACTTTGACGTTCATACTTTTGACAGTGGGGATTTGCGAAAAGGGATAAGCACGTATCCATAGACTTCCGATTCCCCAATGCCAAGGGATGACATGACCTCAACAATGCTCTTTGTCCCTGTCATACAGTACCATTCAATAAACGATGCTATACTCCACGTCTGTCGATACTTGTCCATCCACTCAACCATATTTCGTTGGAACCTCTCACCTTCCCTCCGAGTTTATAAGGCGTGGGCATTCATCCACTTCAAGTTTCTTTGTCGTGATCCTGTTTCGGACGCTGCCACAATTTTGTTTGCTGAACATCGTTGACCCAACAGCATCTATTGAATGGAGTGCTCTATAATCCGACCAGTTTATAGACTCAGCCTGGATTACGAGGTGGGCAAAGCAAGGAGACGACGTCATTGGCGCTTCCCTTCCTTCCCTCGAATACGGTAAGAGGGGCGCACCAATGACGTCGCATCCCTGGCTCCGCCAGTCCCGCATGGTTTCTCTATGACGCTGATCACTGTTTACGTTCTGTCGCGCGAAAACAGAAGCAGCTCCTTTTCACCCTAAAACTTCAGAAGGAACAGGTTGTTGAGAAGTAGGATAAACTGAAAGGCGATATCATCGTTCCTGCGCTATGCGAAAACATGCGAAGAACTGCTATAGGCCTGTGCAGCGTTCGCGACGACGGAAATCCAGTCTGCCCAATGATCCTTTCCCATCCCAGTTCTTTATAAACCCGTTTTTTGGTGATCGAAGACTCAGCAAACCACGTTTTATTTAGCGACTGTACAAGTAACAATGAACAGATTCGTTGGAAATTGACGTGACATTAATTAAGTAATGAGATCAGTTCTTGTTGGCATAATTCACACGAAGTGATCGGCCATTGAAGTCAGCTCCGTTGAGGGTGTTCACAGCGTTTTGAGCTCCAGCCTGGTCAGCGAACTCGCAGAATCCAAATCCTTTGGTGCGACCGGTTTCACGATCGTAGACAATTCTGAAAGTATAGCTTGAGAAAACGCAATTACATGAGGGAAGACCCGACGTTTTACCAACCTGACGTTAGTTACATTACCAGCTTGGCTGAAGTAATTTCCGATAGCATCCTCGGTAGTCTGGTAAGGCAAGTTACCAACTAAAGCAAAGATCGATTTGAAAATGAATAATACATCACGAGAAATAAAACCAATACCACTCAGTTATAGTCCTCAGTGAAGCCATTACAGAGCGAAGGCACCCTAACCTAACCTAACCTAGCCTACGGGGAATACGAAGTAGTACTATGAGCCCGATGACATTTAGTCAAGATCCCTCTACCGTTGCATGCGACGGTGTTGTCGCTTCCACGGCGACGTCGTCTCATCCATTTCGACCAGAACTGCGTACGCAGTTGATGGGATAGTTATAAGTTAACTTTAGCCTTTATGGCTACTTCGGACGTTGTTTCCTGCAATATCGGAATGTTTTCGAAGGCTATTGGAACCATTGAGAACACCGATAAAGCATTATGTAATGCTAATTTCTATTACTGAAAGAATTCTATTAAAACTGAGCAAGACCGTATTGGTAATGCTTTTTACAAATTTTAAAAAGGATCCAACTGCCAAGAAACGTACCGTAAACGGAGTGTCCAGTACGTTGAGCATATCCCATAGCGGCCATTTTTAAGGAGAGAGAGGTAAGGAACGAGTGTATCGACCAAGACTGCGGTGACGCTGTAATGAGCAAGCGGCCACGTCGCTGCGTTGGAGGCGAAGCACCGCCCCTTTCGGCCTGAATCAGGGCGGATACTGTAGTGAGTGCGGGGATTCGAATCAGAATATACATGCCAAACGGTAACAGTACGAGTTGCATGTTGGGGAATCCCCAGCAGGGAGGGGTTTTACTTGGTCTGAGAAACATTTTTTTGATAGTCGATTTTTCTTGTTTCACGGGCGCTAATCGCTCCATTGGGAGAGTTCCAAGAGAGGGGGGGGGTCGTATTTGCCTGTGAGAGAAATGTGTTGCGTTGAAAAAAATTTTTTTCCGATTATTGAATTGGTTGGTGACTCTCCTCCCCCCCCGCTCGAGGGCAAAGTTCTAGAGAAATGTAGAAAAAATTCAAGAAATTTTGGAAAAAGTGGTAAAAAAATGGTAGGAAATTGGGGAAACTCTAGGAAACTAGGAAAGTGATGGGTGTGACGAGGAAGGGAGGGGGGATGGTCGCAATTTCCGAAAGTTTTTCCCAGCGGCAGGCAGGACGTGTCTTGGTTGAGAGACCAACGGGGAGTCGTATCTGATCAGTGGGAA